TGGTGGAAACATGAATGTGAACAAGTTCCATAACCAGGATCTGCAAACACAACTAGACTGGATTCTGAACCTGTAGATGTAGATACATGTGACTCGCTGCACTGTTTAAACAGTAAATAGTGTCTGTTTGGTCAACAGTGACCTGCAGATGGGAAAAACCAAGCAGGCCTCTATTTTACCAACAAAGGTAGCATGCTGGCACTGAACCTAGAGCACAGATGCTCCAGAGGAAAACTATTGCTCTTCATTGAACAGAAGAAAATAACTCCTGGACTGACTAAAGAGCAGGACTGACCCGACTCAGACCCTCTGCAGGGATGAATAACATACAATCTGGCATCCAAGCATTTTCTATTTAATCTGATGCCTTCTGACATCTAGTTAACACAGGCTGTTTGTTCGGAGGAACTACAGTGATGTTTTAAAGTTGGTGTAAATTGATGAACTTTGATATAAATTTGGTCATATTTATGCAAATTGATCCAGCCGCTGCGCCAACATGTTAAGGTGGATCATTATCTGGTCATGATGGACGCCTCCCTGATTCCTCTCATCCCACCAGGAGGAGACCAGAGGAAGACCAGGAATGATTCAGGAATTATGGAGAGATTCATTAAATATTCAGAAAGAATTACCATCAGCAGAGCTGTATTTAAATGCATTGTGTGATAGAGACGCTCAGTTTGCAGGAAGGAAGTTGATGTTTGTGTTGAAAGCAGCTCATGATTCAGAGTGGAGGAGGGGAAACCACAGCAGCTAAATGACTTCTCTATTTAGTTCCTCATTCTCTCCATACAGTCAGGTTTCTGTTCTCTCCTGAATAAAAAAATAGATATTAATGCATGGTCCCATTTAAAAATGACTTAAACTTCATACATAAAGAAGTTGTTTGAACTGTAAAGGCCTGATGGAATCAGTTTCTGGTTTAATATTTCATTCAGAGAGAGAGCTGGTCTCTTTTCAAACGACACTAGAACACATCCTGGAACAAAGTCCAGAGGGAGTGTTGGTATAAAACCGGTTCAGTTTGTTCTGTGGGACGTTTTATTAACTACTGACAACAGAAACAGACACGCCTGAACCAGACAGGTGTGCCTTGTTACCTCAGGGTAAATGACTGGTTATGAAGAAACAAAACCTATCCCTGCTGCAATAACATCAGAAATATAAAGATCTATGATGCCAAAAAAGAAAACTATATGAAAATATTAACTTCTACTGTTTTAGCACTTTTCATGCTCACTGCCCAGTTTCTGTATTTTCTCTTCCTGATCATGTTTACCTGTGAATTCAGGTAGAACCAGCTGAATGAATCATTTACAGCAGGGGCCCCCAAAGTGGGTCCTGGAGGCCCGGCATCCTGCATGTTTTATTCTGTCCCTGGTTTAACACACCTGGATCAGATGATGCTCATTAGAGGCCTAAGAGGAACATTGACCTGCTGAGGAGGTTTTTACAACCACCAGGGAGAGAATAAAACATGCAGGATGCCTCCAGGACCCACTTTGGGGGCCACTGGTTTACAGTAAAACTGACACAATGACCAAAACTCTGATGTTCAAACTGCATGAGATCTAAATGACCCAAATCCACCTGGATCCTGAAAATAAAACCTCTGCAGGTAAAAAAAGAAATAAAACGACACAACTCATTTTAGACAGCATCAAGCATACAGAAACATCAGCCTCCAGGCTCTGCTGAAACAAGTTCACATGCTGTGGAGAAATTCATAAGGAAAACCAACAATATCCATAATTCACTGATCAGATGATCAACTCCAGAATGATGAACTGATCCAGACTGTCAGGTTATGGAGAGATGAGAGATAAAATCTGCTGCTGGTTGAAGCTTCATCTGACCTTTTGTTACTAAACATTAATTAATAAATGAGGTAAAACATGAAAATATTTAATATTCTCTCTGAAATACCACAAACTTTCTATTTAAACTTTGAACATCACATGAATTTGTTTTTATCTGTATTTTCATGTTTGTATCACATTTTGCTGAATTAGTTTATAATTTTCTCTTCTGATAAACTGAATTATGTTTCCCTTGACAAACCAGATTAACTTCCAGACATTTTGGTTGTAAAGTTCAATAATAATTTTGGTCATTAAGGGAAAATATTCCTGATAACTGGATATTAATCTGATGTTTTATCAGTGAAGCTGCTGATTCAGGAGGTTTTAATGTGACTCAGCATAAAAAACAAGACAAACATAAAACCAGAGACATGATCTGAGTTTATAAAAATAAACTTTTATTTTGTAATACAGAAATATTTTACACAAATAAAATGAAAATCTTTTATATTTGACCAACCAGGACATTTTTGTCCTTCTCAGAAAAACTTTATCATCCAGGTTAAAGGTCAGAGTAATAATGGAAACATGAGACTTTAGACTCACTGAGATTAAATATAAAGAGACACTAAGTCAATAAAACTGATCAAAGCTGTATTATAACTGATTTATAGCATCATGTAAATCATATACAGAACCTGCAGTGAAGATAATAAAGCATTAAAGCAGTTTAAACATCATCATTAGTATAAATAAGAACTCAGAGAAAATACATTATTCATTTTTCCAATTCTAATTTTACATAATTTAACCGTCTGTAAAGCCCACGCTGCATTAAGACATGTGTTAAGGTGTTTGAATTGCTCTTAGTCTGATTCTCATGTTCTGGGACAGGTCTAACATTATTAACCCCCCAGAACATGAGAATCATTAAAGCCCCTCCACCACGACAAGGTGGCAATTCAACGGAGGGGAATATGGTTAGTGCAGGAGTCAGCCACACAGACTCAGTCTGACTGATCAGGTTAATGATGCAATAAGCAAAGAAACTGATCATTAAGTCACTGATCTTCACAGTTTTTGTCATATTTACCTTTAAATATGAGAACAGAATAAAAAATGTTCCTCTTGCTAATATTTACATGTCCTTATTAAAAGACAATGTTGTCTCTGCTTTGGCTGATGATCCAGAAACACCAACTTTCAGTCAGATCAACTGAGGTTCCTCTGCATCATCAGGGGGAGACGGAGTCTTGGTCCTCTTCCTCCTAATAACTGCTTTCATCACCATGGAAACAACGACAGAAACTGCAGCAAAGACAGCCACCAACAGGCCAGCATGACTTCGACCGACCCCCAACTCATCTGTGTTCCCTCCATCCTGATTCCCTCCTTCTCCTCTGTTTCCATCCTGGTTCCCTGCAGAACAGAACCAGGAGTTAGTCTGATCCCACTGAAGATCATCATCATCTGATCTGAGATCCAGAACCAGGAGCTGCTGGTTCTGATCCAGAGACAAACACTCACCTGGAGGATCAGACTGTCCAGCAGCTACATGCAGGTGGATGGTGCTGATGAGGTTGACCTCTCTCTTTGTCCGTCCTCTTCCTCCTTGGACATAACACTCATATGTTCCACTGTCATTAGTTCTCACATTGTGTAAATATATTGACACATCTCCAGTTGTTCTGTTCACGAGCTCCACTCTGTCTTTATACTGATCTTCTGTGATAACTGGATCTGAATTTTGGTTTGGACAGGAAATGACATATTTGTTATCCTCATCAGGTTTGCTCCACTCTACAGTTTTGATGGGCTTGAATCTGGTAGCATCACATGGCAGAAGGATCCTGGCTCCAGTTTTAGCTTCAATTCTGGTCACATCTGCAGAAGAAACAACAAAAACAGGTTAACAGAGGATTTCTACAGCTGGCTGCTGACCTATTAGCTCCTCACTTTAGACAACTGTGTC